ATGAAATCCCGCATCGAATTCGGTCATAAACTCCGGGGTACCCGATTATCCCGGCCATAAAAGGCGTACGTTTCGCATCTGCATCCCCCGGAGGGCGTCGGAGACATTTTAATTAGGGTCCGCGATCGCGAGACGATTCCGTCCGAACACCCCCATATCCTCACATTAACAAGTGATCGTGAGAAGGCGGCAGATGCCAGAGCGTGTTCGGCGGGAACCTCGTAACTAAATGGGATCGCCGTTTGAGCTGAGCGGTTTTTCCTAAGCGCGGTAAGCTGGCGACCTATCGCCGGATTAGAGTGGGGTGGCTTTGCAGGGGAGGTGTCCCGGTTTACATGATGGCCGAGCGGTGTTTCCGAGGTGGTCGTCTGCCGGCGGCCACGGATGTCCATATTTGCGGCCAAGAACTGTCCGCGTTGCCACTTACATTTGGGTATCAGCCCGACGTTGCCTTATTTTCTTCCAATTTTTTTTTTCTTTTTTAGAAGGAGCACTGAAAAAAAAACTCCGGCCGTGGGAGCCGTAATTGCGGGCTATATAGACATTTCGTCCGTTCCGGGCTCAAAGGCCGAAAATTCCAGCTGCTGGAGGCGTAGCTTCGATTGCTCCGGGTTCAGAGGCTAAAGCTACGGCTCCAGCAGCCGGAGTTTTCGGCCTTTGAGCCCGGAACGGACGGTATGTCTATATAGCCCGTAATTGCAGCTCCCACGGCCGGAGTTTTTTTTTTTCAGTGAGAAAACCAAACAACACCCTGACTTGAAATTGCGTGTAAATGCTTTAAATATCGTTAGGGGAGAATTAACGTGAACTTCGTTGTATAAATCTTTGTAAAAAAGAAAAGAAAACAGGAGAGGAAAGTATGCACTGAGATAGGAAGTATTTTTGCCAAACGGGACCCTGGGCATTGCGGCATGAGCCCTGAGACCTACAAGAATGTATGCATAACAGGGCTCACATTGTAATGCAGATAGTTCCATTTGGCAGAAATGCGTCCGAATGCAGTTAGACTGATAAGGACTGATTTCGGATTTAGACTGATGCTAGGAATCAACGAAAGCACGGAAAGTTACATCTTCTGCGCTTTGTGAGTTTTAACCACACAAGTGAAGGATCTCGAACCGCACAATGATTCCGACCGAATAGACGTGTTTGCAGCCCTAGGAATCGACGAAAGCACGTAAAGTTAAATCTTTTCTGCTTTGTGAGTTTTAACCACACAAGTGAAGGATCTCGAACCGCATAATGATTCCGACCGAATACCCGTGTTTGGAGCCCCAGGATTTTCCAAAAGCGCGTAAACGCACATCTGGCACGCTTCGTGTGTTTCAACCTACAAGTGAGAGATCTTGAACCGCATGCGTGGCGCAAAACGCCTGAGGCACGCAGCTGTCAGGACCCGCACCCCCAATAAATTGATAAGAAATCGGAAACTCATTTTGTATATAATTTTGAGACTTCAAAGGTTAGTGCTTTGTTAATTAGGTATAGAGGAAGTACTCAATTTATACTAATTTTTATTAACTGACACTTTGGTGTTTCCAAGATAACATCGATACGGGCTGATATTTAAAACACATCGATCAGACGTAGAGCATATATTTCTACAGCCAAGATCCTTATTTACCTTTTTCTAATATATTTCTATCCTTTCCCCGAAAAAAGCGCCTATGCGGGATTTTTTTTTCAATCTGGTAAACGGAACCAACCAATCTTCTTCGATGATAGCCACTACTACATCATTAGAAGTGTTTCAATAAATCGAGGCAAGACGTTCGGGCGGCCGGTTGCCGTTGGGTTCCCCGAAGCAATTTTCTTTGAGCAATTTAAATGCTAGCTCGGTTGGCTCGGCGAGTTTCGGCGTGACCCCATCATTCGTTGGGCGGATCCGGAAGATGCCGTCCCCCGGGACATCTCGTCAAGACGGAGGGGGGATGAGGGCGCCAAGGGGGAGGGGAAGGGTGGAAAGGGGGGGCGGCGGACAGGTAGACAGAATCATGAGACGGAAAACCGAAAACAGCTCCGCGACGCGCCCGAGCGGAGCGGGCGAATCGGGAAAGAAGCAAACAAGCTGTGAACTCAGCTTTGATAACCGCATTGCCAAATTCACGCCGGGTCCCTTCACACTGAAAAAAAATTCTCGGCGTTTTTATCAAGGTCCGTTTGGTACCTTCACAATCTCACTTTTTTACCAATTATTGGTAATTTTACCAAAACAGACTTGTAAGCTTACCTAAAAACCAGTATTTTGACTGTTTTTTTCAGGTAAGAATACCACTTTTATTGGTGACCGATTCCCGGTAACTTTGCCATTTCATCTCGGTAATTCTACCACAGTCGATAAAAAATATTGGCGTTTTTACCGGGGTCAAGTAAAATTACTGAGAAAGTCGATAATTTTACCGAGATTTCTCGGTAAAATCACCAATCCCATAAATGGTAATTTTACCAAGAAAAAACTGGGATCAAATAGAACCCTGAATTCTTGGTAATTTTACCCTTTTCTTGGTAAATACACAAATATTTTTTTTTTCAGTGCAGTTTGAATGTCTCGGCTAGCGGGACGCATGTTCAGGGATGCAAATTGTTCTGGGCCACCGTAATTTTTTGCAACGCGCTTGGATTTTGCAAAAAAGTCATCACGAGCTGATCGAAATTTTGATCAATTTTTGGACAGTTTTAGTATGTTTGCAAAAGTTGCAATATTCAATAAGAGTTAAAATTGATGATGAAGATGAATTATGTTGTTTTAGCTATATCTGTGACTTCATTTAAAAGAGATGAGAGTTTTGAAGGAAACTCAATTATGTAAATTTGGCGGTCACTGCTCTCTTCGCTATCACGGCAGTAAAGTCCTCGCCCATTCTCAGGTTGGGCTTTGACATAGGGCACTATACCTCAATTTGTTGAAAAGTCATGACAAGGGTGATTACTGGTGTTGATGGTGCGGGACTTTTGGATTAATCTGTAGAAATTTTTTTTTGTACCGATTTGGATCAAAACGACAGCAATGACATAACTTCTCCAAATGCTACTGATTAGAATGAATCGATATGCACAGCTTTCCTGTGACGTAACACTAAGTGTCAACACTGGAAAAAAAAATTCTCTTGGACTCAGAGTGCAGACTCCTAGGTATAAATGACAAGAAATAACACTCTTGATTCAATCGGATTTTTGCTTGAATCGAGAGCAAAACCTCTAAATTTAAGCGGATTTCCTATTGATTCGAGCAAAAATCCTATTGAATCAAGAGTATTTTTTTTTCTCATCAATTTTTTTAAGAGTCTCGACTCCGGATCCGAAAGACTTTTTTTTCCAGAGAACTGTTTCTAAGACGGTTCGATGGCTCGTAAATAGCAATTTTCCGCCCGACGTGGCATCACCCCGAGTGCGCAACGTCGATGTCGCCGGGATATTCCAATTTATATTGCAATTTTTCTAATGGTCCACTTTGCAGGAGGGAGCGGGGCGCGGGGCGGAGATAGAATCCCCGCCCCTCCTCCCGGCATTGTTTCCGCCACATTCAAACCGGGATTTCAATTTGTTTACACAAAAGGCTCCGTCGGGATGAAAATGTAATAAAAAAGAAATTTGAAGAGAAAATGAGCGAGATAAAGGGCAGAGAGCACGGACGGTGCGCAGCCACAGGGTCCTAGACCTCGCGACCCCCCCCCCCCCCCCCCAAACCCCCGATAGACAACTTCCTATCCGCGAATGGAAGGGACGTAACGCGTGGCGACAAAGACTTATTTTTCTTCGCGGGGAGTGCACTTTGAAAATTGTCTCTCGAAATTACGGAGAGCTCCATCATGTGTGGACTCACGAAAATTCGAACCCGGAGAGAAATTGCAATCTACGTGGACGCCCCGGAGAACGACGGAGATGGCGGATAAAACGCGCGGCTAGGAGAGTCGAACAAAGCCAAATACCGGGCGGAACAAAATATGATACATTAAATGAAGTGGGACTTGATGCGGTTAACAGTTCAAGTTCTTTCATGCACTCAATTCTGGCCAATAGAAAATTGCGAAAACAATTTATTCCAAGAACTCGGCGATACTATCTAGGAAATATAAACGTGTGTGGCTAGGTCATAATAGGAAAATTAGATAAATCTCATTCCGACTACTTGGAACTACAAATTCTGATATTTTGGTCTGGAATTTTCACCTGAATTTTCTGCATTTCCTGTTTTCCACAAACTGGTGTTATATACGCGGTCGATAGGGTGGATTTACTACAAAATATGTAAGCATTACAATAGCGGGTAACAAGGCTAGAAAACACAAATGAAACCAACATGTTTCGGCTGGAAACACCACAGCATTCTTCAGTCGGACGCAAAAGAACACTTATAAACGTAGTACTTGGTTGAATCTTTGCCAGAGGAGATGAATGTTGCATGTTTTTAAGAGCATTTTTTTGATAACAACATTCATGTCGTTTTGGAGAGGTGCAACCGAGTACTAAGTTTTTAAAATTTTAAATTGTTACTGATTTTTATCTAACTGAAGAAGACCGTGTTGTTTCCAGTCAAAGCTTCTTGGTTTCATTTGTGTTTACTAGCCTTTTCACCCGCTGTTGTAATTTTTAGACGTATACAGGGTGATCCACGGTTAAAAGGCCAGAATGCAGGAGCCGAAACACCTCCAACCCTCCTCTTTAGATTGAGATTTCGATGTTTTGAATCATTTATTAATTCAGGGCATAAAAGTACAGGAAAGTACAAATTTTCACGAGATTTGGTTCACAACCGTTACCAAAGTTCAAGAAAAATGATTTACTTTCCGAAATTTTGGGGAAGGAGGCCGTAACACTGACTGGGGGCACGAAGAAACTTTTTTCAAAAAAAGTCTTATTTTGACTCATAGAACACAATCCTAGGATCACTCTGTATCTTGACAAAAGCGCTGAGCAACTGACATATCTCATGCTACTGCAATAGTACAATATTGTCTCCGTGCGTGTTAAAATTTGTAAAAAACCGTTGTTTATCTTACCTGACGAAAAAATGAGGAAGAAGCAGAGGAGGAGGAAGTATGACTGCTGAGCGTTTAGCGGCAGAGAGGGGTCCAAGTCCGAACGCAGGCCCATCCCTCCAGACCCATACTCCTTGCTACATCTCCACCATCACCTGCACAGAAAAGACACGTGTTAGGGGTTCCAGAGTCAGCGTTGGGGGGCATTGCAACGGAGGTCACCCCACCGCATTATGACTGCAGCCACAGTGTTTCGCTCCGTAAATCACCGTGCACGCGAAACCAGACACGCTAGTTCGGTAAATTGCCATCAGAGTGCGTGGGCGTGGATGACAATGCAACTTCGGCATGCACTTGCGGGTTCTCCACGTACACCGGCGGCATATGAATCATACAGATTTATATCAAAGTTGCTTGGCTTCCTCGTGTAATATATTTCAGTAATTAATCGTTTAGGAAAGGACGTGATTAAGATGTTTTCCTTTTAATTTCCTACCATGTAAATATATGTTCCGGTGATTCAGACATTTACTTTGCATGACTGCAATATGACGAGCTCCTAAGCGGCTGTCAGATTCGAATTGTTATGTGGCTAGCTTAAAATTCAGATAGAAAGCGATTAAAATCTTAACGAGCACAATCGTGGATATAAAATTCTGGCACAATTCAATATCCGATTCTTAAAACTTCGTTGGCTAAAGATAGTCCGTACGGACTATCTGATTTGGGAATTAAAATTGCGAAAGTCATGCTAAAGGTTTAAGAAATAACAAGTTGGATTTTGCAATCGCTAGCGATAGCAATATTCGTCATGGGAACGTTAGCTTCTGGGATATGAAAATGTTAAGGTACAGTTCGTTTGTAGTATCTTCTGAATTGAAGGGGCTATGTAATTTTGTGTTGACATCTCTTTTTTAACATTTTTAATTATTTTCTTTGCATACAAGAAAGCTGTTATGTACCAATTATTTATTTTCGTTGGATTATATATGGTTTTCGGAAGTTAACGCATTTAAGTTTCAGGTTCGCTTTTTCGGCGTAAAGTATACATAAGGTGTCCCAAAAGCACCGGGACTTGTTCTGTAACTTCGAAAGTAAGATAGATACAGACATGATCTTGATTTCATTTTAAAGATCAACTCAATACCTATCGATTAAAACCAAGATCAGCTCAATCGGATAAAAATTGACCGAGTTATGGCAATTTGAAATCAGCGAGGAAAGTTTACGCCTACGGTTTTTAAGGAAGATTCTTCATCGCCGTAAATCGAAAAGTCGGCCGATAAAGTGATGCTTATTGTGTTTTTTTATTTTCGAGGTGTCATTTATCAACATTTTGTACCATCAAACACAACAGTTGACAGTGCGTATTATTGCAAAGTACTAAAGGAGTTGAGAATGCACATTTCCCGGAAACGGTCGGACTTGAAAGCTTCGTGGATACTCCATCAAGACAATGCGCGGCCTCACACATCGAGCTTAACACGTGAATTTATGAGTAAAAATGGAGTTGAAACAATCCCTCATCCCCCTTATAGCCCTGACTTGGCTCCATGTGATTTTTGGATGTTTCCTACGCTTAAAAAGGAGCTTCGCGGACGAAGATTCGTATCGAAGACCGAAATCCAGAATGCAATTCAAAACTTCTTCAACTCCATCCCAGAGGAAGAATTCAGGAAAACAATGTTGGATAAGTGGCAAGAGCGCATGAAAAAGTGCATCCGGTTTGATGGACGGTACTTTGAAAAGCAAAAGGAAGTTATGGAAGATTCGGAGGAAAGTGGATACGAATATTAACTTTTTGAATCCTGGTAAGCGAAAAATCTTCCTAAAAACCGTAGGGGTAAACTTTCCTCACTAATTTCAAATTGTCATAACTCGGTCAATTTTTATTCGATTGAGCTGATCTTGGTTTTAATCGATAGGTATTGAGTTGATCTTTAAAATGAGACCAAAATCATGTCTGTATCTATCTTACTTTTGAAGTTACAGAACCAGTCCCGGTACTTTTGGGACACCCTACGTATGATATTTTTACTCTACACATATGCCCGAATACGCATCATAAGGGACCTATGTGCTTCCTAAGTTGCCAAGTATTAATTATTGTTAGATTATTGGTCTAAAACATTCAATACAACCAGTAAAAATTAGCTGTCCCCTACGAGATTCGAACCCCCGCTCGCACAAAAAGTGACACTCTCCCAGAGTCAGAACAGTGGCTTAGCTAACTGAGCTATCTCGCCGGTCGGATGTTGGTGGAGAAAATGAGAACAGTTAAGTGATCTCGGACGCTGAGCGGGGCTTCACAAAAGACGTCCTTGAGATTTCAACGGTTCGGCCACTGGCGTGATAAGAGACAAATGGATCAAGCGCATTACTCTGTGAGACATTGTTTACCTATGCGGTCATGTGTCACAAGGTTCATCTCAGTATGCATATGCGATCGCGGCAGTAAGCTGAGGCAATATTTCTGTATTCATGGATTAAATCCATCAATCGAGTTCTGATTTTGGCTCATATATCCGTAACGGGTCCTCCAGAGCAATTTTCCACCTTGTACGATGGTTATTATTTCTTTACATCTATGTTTAAAATTTGAGGTGGGATAATGGCGGCTTCTCAAGAGCAACGAGGTAGGCGATCTTTTGCACCAACGAACAGAAAACTGATGGCGAAAAATAGCCAATGAAAACCTCCCAAAAAAAAGAATTTGCCTAAAAACGGAACTTCGTGGTTCTGCGCAGATTTACCAGTCAGACACGACATCTCAAGGTGGAAAAAAACTCGCTGAAAGCGAATTTTAGAAATCAACACAACTTGACGTAGAGACATGATTGGCTAAAAAATACAACGGTTTTTGATACATCGGAAAATCAACCAAAAATCGGAGACTGGGCGAAACGCTCAAGGTCGCAGAGGTATAGGGAATTCCATAGCGAAAGCAACGGAACGATTCTAATATCATGGGGAACTCCGTTCCCATGACAAAAACAAGTAAAACAAAAAGTATAAAATTAACGATTCTGAAAATACTTGGACAACTTTTTTTCTTCAGTAAAACAAAATATAGAGAGACTGTCAACAGAGTGGCATTCTCCGCTTTTTAAAGTTACATTTTTGAAAAAAATACCAAACAGAACCGTTAAAAAAACGAAGCTGTTTATAAACTACTCAACGCTAAAAATCGAAAATGAAACGAAATCGAGAGGAAAATCCAAGTATTCGCAAGACTTGTCCGAGACTGCAAAGCGGCTCTGCAATAGTTCGCAAACGGCGCGGCGCGGCATGCAACTATTCGAACGCCAAGGAGCGCGTGGAGTATAACCGCAAGAAGGAAGGCGCGACGACTACCGGTCGTCAAGTTATTCTCCAATTCAAGGCTGGTTTTCATTTAATGGCGCTGTGCACGAGGTGTAAAATTCTGTAAAGCAAACGTGAACTACAAATTCTGATTGAAGGACTCTCTTCCCGATAAATTTACTTCATAAAAATGTCATTGAGTTTCTTAGAAGGCAAATTGGAATTCACAAAGATTTCATTCAATTTTTGCATTGAATGAAATTTTAAGCCACAAATCTACGGTAATAATAATAAGTACACTAAAAATCTAATAGCTCATTTAATTCTAGATGTTAAATAAAAGAGAGTGAAGTATCAATTAGTCGAAGAGGCGATGGTATCAATTGGACATCGTCAGTTGTTCACCGATTTACTTGTCGTTTATCAGGATATTAAGAGTTATTACAAGAAAAATTACCGACATTTTACCTTTAAATTTTAGTATTTTCAAAAAATCAGTTGCATTTACTTACAGAGCGGTGATCAGAGGTAGAGTAAAGTAGAAATAAGGTGCGTTTTCAACATCTATAATCAAATATTGCTTGTAGCTATCTTATTTTGCATTAATGTAGAACTCATCTAAATTATAGAGGACTTTTAAACCAAACTCATGTTTGATATGAATGTTTTGAATTAACCAAATAGGATCCTGTTAACTATTGATCAAGATTTAGGTTCCACACCATTAATTCATAAATAGTCTCAGAAACAGGAGACTATACTCATTACTTCAAGACTTTAAACCTGTATTTTCCCTTTAATCATCCTGTTTAATCCAGATAAGAGTGTGAGAGGGCCTATGCATCAAACCTTTTGAAACTCCTGCATTTCCCGTTGTTTACTTGCTCTATCTTTTCCTTATTTTAATTTCGTGTAAACGCGGTAGGATTAGAAGCTCAAAGGCTTCTCGGATCCTCACGATGCCCACGGGAATGATTACGACTGAGACTAAGATATTTCCTCGTCTTTTTCGGCAAACTTTCCAAGCGGGAAACTTTCAAGAGGAACTCCTTTTCCGAAGAGGATACTTCAGACTCAGCTGAAAGTTTAAAACTGTCAAAAAAAGGGATATCGCGTCCAAGTGCTTAACCTTAAATCCCCGGAACATCTCTCCAAGCGTAAAGTGAAAGTTTGTCTTGCGAGAGCCGAATAGGGGTTTGTTCTCTGGTGGTGTATCAAAGAGTTTTTCCTAGTGCGGAGTGAAACCCTAAAAGCTTTTATTTTGCTTACGAGCTTAATGCTGTAACGTTTTTCAGCCTTTGTAAGACTCTACCTCATGCTGAGATTTTGCAAAACATTTCATTATCTTGATAATCCCAAGAAAATATATGAGAGGGGAAAAATATATGGTTAGTGTAAATACTTTTCTGCCTGATTTTGAGCCCCATTAGACCTTCAATTGAAGATGAATAAAGTCTTAACATTATTTTCCATACTTTGACGAATATAATGCCATTTTCAACCTGATGAATATACAATCACTGGTCTCTCTACCTTCTAGGACCATTTCCCCTTAACTTCGATTTCTTCCAGCTTCTCCTGAACAGCCAATTAGATGCAAATTGTTGATTTAATGGTAATTGAAGCCACAATGGAGGATGGAAAGTTTGGAAATAAAAAGGCGAAAACCCATCAAAATCAAAGTATCGAGATTTAGATTAAATTCTTGCAGTTTGAAAAGCCGGAGTGCCTTTCAAACCTCATCGAGGATGATGCGTTCGTGCGATAGAACTGTGGATCCATTTTAGCGTGATGAAATTACACTGCCTGTAAAAACGATTCCCCACTGCCTTTCTACGATCTCAATCGTCCA